ACTACACAAGTTCGAGTCCCGTCCGTGGCAATGTTTCTCCCATAACTCGACAACTTTGTGAGACCAATGGCTCGCGTAAATACAGCAGCTATTAGAGCTTAGAAGCCGCTGGTCTAAAGTCTTCATAAGCACCGTCTATAACGCAAAATAAGCAGTATAAGCCGAGTGCTGAGGGCTCCACAAAAGGAGCGAAATCCTGCGGAATGGATGGAGAAAACCTAGCCATTATTGTGAGGTACCTCTGATTATGACTCTGGATAAGGATAAGAAAAATGAAACGTATGTAGGAACGATCGTTGCCCCTCGGCTAAGAAGTCTTTAGTTGGCGAAAGGGTCGTCGCATTAGAGACCGTAACAGAATAAAAATTTGAAAGTTTCTGATAGAATATGATGAGTACGGATGTCTTGAGCAGCTCGGGCACATTGGAACGAGCTGCATTCGTGGAAATAAGCTAGTAATTAGCAAAAATCTTGTTGCCACTGATCTTGTGAGAAATTACATCGAAATGATCAAACACAAATATTTCAAAATAGGAAACATTAAAGTACCTTATTTCTTTAATTGCTTCACAATTTTGTATTCCAAGAGAAACTAGAAGAGCCTTTCTGGGCCTTCTGCACAACGGTCACACCCAATCTCAAATCCAGTCACCTGGCTCAGCATTGTAGCGATAATTATGGCCGAAGAAAAGACAATTTCTGGGGCCTATTTGATTTGTGCCAATTATGACCGTATCGTGACCATTACTGTGAGGTACCCGCGATTATCAGCACCGAATATTCGCTGCAATTTGTTCACTTCATTTTTCTCCACTTCCTACAGTTTAGCATCATGATTCTCAACTCTGTTTCGTCCATATTTGGTCTAACACCGCCTCTACCGAATTTCCTAACATAATGGAACTAAAAAGAGACTAAACACCAATTCATGCTCCTCTGTAGGTCCTAATCGATGGCTGGTATCCACTAAGATCTGGTGGATAGCCCAGGCATCTTCTTATGAATTCAGACGATTACGGCATCAGCTCGAGG